GGACCCAAATTTGACAGCTAATGGTCATAATTTTTTCTTCAAATGAACTGAAAATGTGCTCTAAAAAGGGCTAAGAATGAAATAATATATTAATATTAAATAGTTGATAAAAAAATAAGAAAAAATTTTGAGTTTACGTGTAATATTATTTTATTAAAAAATATATTATTAAAAAAAATGTATTTTAAGAAAAATGGGTATTAAACAAGGGCCATATGTGAATGTTATTTTAAAGAAAATTAATAATATTTTTGGACGGAAATATGATTCAAGGACAAAAATTTTGACCAATAAAAAATTACAAATAAGAATGTAATGAAAGAAAAAAGTTTAAGACATAAGTGCGATAATGAATAAAATTTAATGACATTTAGCTCTTATTTAATTCTCATTATTTTCAAAATACATTTTTTCTATTTTCTTTATAACTACACATTTTTCAATAAAATAATATTACACGTAAATTTTAAAAAAAATCTTTATTTTTTAACTACACATACTTTATTAATCTAATATTCTAAAATTCATTCTTAATCAAAAATAGGGTTCAAATAGGCACTTGATATAATTAAAATGTAATATATATACTAGTTTTTACCCGTACAACGCGCGGGTTGGATTATTTTGGAGGTGATGTTAGTGTTTTATATTAGGCATGTCTTAAGTTGCTTAATTTAATATTTTTAGAACAAAGACATTTGACAATATGATGAGTGAGGAATCACTGGTATTAGCACGCATTCATTAACCAAAGACATCGATAGATTTATTAGACATATATCCATAACAATATGTTTCAAATAAAATGAAGATATTATTGTAATTTGTTGTTTTAAAAATAGTAGACAAATATTAAATGAAAATGTCATTCTCAGTCATAAATAGTATAAAATGAATACACAGAATAATAATTGGCCATATACATAAACTCAAATCTAAACATAACCAGACATTTTCTTCTTGGTATAAACAGCTTCACCATGAACCATATTTTTAGTGCAAAGCAAATCTTATTTTCCTTTACCAAGTAAAACATTCTCATGTCGATGAGACTCAAATTGATACATTGTAGATGATTGTGCTTCATGACTCCTTGTGGCGTTAATACCTACATCGGTAATAAGAATTGTTGTCAAGTGCACCAAGAGTACGGCAAATGCATAGGTTTGGCGTTAGTAGTAGAGAAAACAGTGCAAATGAGCATAGAGGTATTGACAATTTCAGCACTTAGGCTATTGCCCTAGGTGTAATCGTGGGCTATTATATTAGTACCACCACCTTATGTCATGTACAGGTTTTTTCCAAAATCTGTTAACCACACTTGTTACAGGTCTGTCAGACCCTCCACCTCGACGCCGCATGTCAGCATACGTGGCCAATCCACGGATCGTCGAGGCGATTGCGCATGGGACGATCTTGCTGCACTTGCCGAAGTGACTGCTTCTCGGAACAAACTAAGTATGCGTCAACGAATGAACCAGACTCATCCACAAATACACAGTGGATGCAAAGGTCCGCACTCCGCTTCCACAACGCTGCAACGCCCCACTTGCCTCGCCTCGTCGCCAAAGATCTCTTGTACAAAAATCCTTCCAAAGTCAAGTCCATGGCTGATGGGACGTGTGGCAGATCCCCAAACGGTCAATTTAGCTGCCATGTCAGAAAACACTCAATGCCCGCAGGCTTATGGATGGACAGAATGACACCTAGAATGAGACGAGATCTAGCAACACGTGTCTCCTCATCCAACGGTCCTCCTCTTCCCATCCTTAGTATAAATGCTTCCTCCTTATGCCTGAAAAGGAGGGACTTTTCTGGGGGGTAAAAACACACTACTACACCAAACATTTGAGTATTATCTTCTCTCACATATTATTGGCACTTGCATTATTGCATGTTCAATCACTTCCCGGCGAGTGCTCAGGTGCTTGCGGCCGCTACCAGCCCCTCCGGGAAAGGCCAAGGGCGACTGACGGCGTGCCACATGTGCACGGAGGAGTCGACTAGAAGACCTGTTTTCTGTTGACCACGTGTCGGAGTCATTTTTCGAGGTCAACAACACCAGCACTATATATGGCTTTCATAGAACTATAGAATTTTAGGCTTTTCTAACCCTAATGATAAAAAGAAATATAAAACAACTCACAGAATGTAAATTACTACAGAAAATGGATAAATCCAAATTGATGTATAGATGATAAATATATAAGATACGTGAAAATTATGAATGATGGAGCAAAACATTACCTGAGTGGACTTTTATTTGAAGCTTTATGATTCTATTAGCTGAAGAATTAAAATCTTCTTTGATTGCAAGATAAACCATTTTGCATAGATGTCTATGCTTTCAAGACTATGAGCACCATCCAAGTAGAACGGAAGGTCCTTTGAGCTTTCATTCTCAATGATTCGATCTGGTACAATTTGGGCCAGTCCTTAAAGAGCAGCTGTCGTTAGCTCTTTAATGAATTCCTCAAGCAGAGAGGTCTATTTCAAAGCAAAAATCCAGAAGAATATTTGTTTAGCCCCTGTTTGGTGCACATTTTGGGCCAAGAATGCATTTTTTTTTTTTAATGTGATGGGGGAATACGTGATTGAAAAAGAAGGAAAAATTATTGACGTGATGGAAAATATTATTTTATTGAAAAATGTGTGGCTAAAAATGAGTAAAAAAATGAGAATGAAAAAAATAATATGGCTCAAACATAGGCTTAGTGGATATTAAAGGTGCCATAAAATAAATTTCCCATTTCATATATCTTATAGTTTGGTTTAGGTAATTGATCCCCAGAAGACCTGTCCTCTGAAGTCAAGCTGAACATAGTGCAATAGCAAGACCAGTATTTAAATTGGGAGATTTTTCAATTTGGCCTAGTTGACTAAGCCTTATGTATTTTTTTTATTGAAAAGTCTATATTACCCTTAATGATATGAATTTTTATAAATTGTATAATATATCCTTCTTTTTTCAAAGGTTTAAACATTAGTCTTTATCTTATGTTTTCTTCTATTTCTATTTGTAATATATAGTTCCATTTTATGATCTAACACATTAGAGTAATCTGTAATATATTTATCCTACTCTTCACTTGATTTCTTATATTCTTCGGATAACATATACATATTTTCCTTTTGTTTTATGATATTTTTTCTAACATTCTATCTAAAAGATTATCTAATCATTTTATAATATATCCTGGCATTTTAATCATCAACTGACAAGAAAGCATGCATTATAACAAACATCAATATGAATAATCTCTATGATTCTTTTAAGATCTTAGGAAAAT